ATCACCTTCAAAAAACTTTTTAACAGCATCAGCACCTTCTGGTTTAGCTTTGTTATAGGCTTGTTTAACATCACCAATTTGTTCACCAGCTGCCTCTATTCAATGGAATAAAATATAAAACTTAGTTGAAATGATAAAATAAGAAGAATGTTTTTACCTATGATGGCAGCTTCAACATCATTACTACCTAACATATTGAATCGACGGGCTAAAAATCGTTCGATTGCTTTTGATTGTGCGATTGTATGTTTTCCACCATCAATTTCAAGTACTGGAATTTTTTCATATGTATATTTGGATTTATCTGCATCCCATTCAGGTCGATTGAATTGACCATCTTTCATTGTTATTGGATAACGATAGTCTTCAAATTCTTGACCAGCAGCTTTAAATAACATACGTGATGTTTCAGCTAACCCACGACCAGCAAAATAAGTTAATTTGTATGATGATGACATATCTAAATCTAAAAACAAACGTTAAATTAATACATAAAATATTTTAGTAAAAGAAGTGGAAAAAAAACAGATAAATGTCTAGTGTATGTCTCTATCTTTGTTTGAATATGATAATATTATCAGTAGACAATTATAAAAGTTGTTTTTCTTGCTACTATTCTATGAAATGAGAATAATGTGAAAAGAGAAAAGGCGTGGCTTGCTAACAATCACCAGCTATTTTTAGTATAAGGAAAACAAAACTTGTTTTTCTCTCGTTCGTTTAAGTTATTCTAGGTACATTCAGAAATGAATTTATCGTATTCAAATAATTTTATATCAACTAATATTGTTTTTAAGAACCACATAATATTTTTATAAAAACAATAACAAAAAACAGAAGTAAAACATAATCCTACTATATTATTTAATTCATCGATGTCAGAAATTAAACAGCGCGTATTAGAGAAAGAAGGCAAAAAACAAGATTCATATATACAGAGAACAGACAGAAAAAATTGTTTTATCAGAACAAGTGTTGCTGTTTGGATAAGTCAAATATAAAAAAAAAAGAAAAGGAAAAGACAAGAATCTAATTATTATTGTTTATTCATTGTTCTTATTGATCGAAACGCACTAAGCCATTGTTGTTTATCATACATATCGCGAGCTTGTAATAAGATCGATGTATTTCGACTATTATTATTATCTATTGATGACAAGGACGAACAGCGAAATACATTACGAGCTAAAATAAAAAGAAAAGAAACGAAAAATAAACATTAAGATAAATTTCGCCTTCGTAAAGGCACAAATACGAACCAGGCTTCGATCCAGCCAATGTACGTGAAAAACTACCTGATGATAACTCAGGGATTTTAACGCCATCTTCAATATCTTCAACAAGTAATGATAAAACCGGAATAGGATAATTTGTTAATTGATAAGATTTTATCCCATTTCGTGTTGCAATACGTGTAAATACAAGAATTTCGTCAAATAAAAATACATATAATTTCTAATGAAACAAAATTGATTTATTTTAATTACTAAACAAAATATATGTTTTCTTACATGACCACGATTATTTTTAAGTTCGCCTTGACATAAAATTCTTGTTTGTTTTTCAATTAATAAATGTTTCTAGAAGAGAAAAAGAAAATTGTTTTCAATAGAAATTCTAATAATCTTCTTCTTTACTTGTTCATCATTCGTATAAACAAGTCGTGCAATAACATTCCAACATAATTGTGCTGATGTTGCTTGACTAACATCATTGATTAGTTCTTCAACAATATTAATCTAAAAAAATCAAAATTTGTACTTTTTATTTAATTATTAAGATTATTAATTACAGTATCAAGTAATATTCGTTTATCTTCATGTCCATCTTTTGTCTAAATAGAAAAGAATATATATGTGTTACTGTATGTCTGAGAGTATTAATTATAAATATTGAATACTCAATTTAAATACAGTTGATTATTTTTCTCACATTTATATATATTCGAAGAAAATCTGAAGATTTCTTTTTCCGATTAAGAAAAAAATGTGAATTGATCTACATACTTCATCAAAATATATCTTTGATTTTATCTTCATTGCAGACAGATTTCTTTTTTTTATTGGCTAATGAAGGAAAAATGTTTGTATTAATGAAATCAAGGGAGA